TGGCTCGACTCTTAAAGGCTAAGTATTACCCTCGAACATCCATTCTGGAAGCTAAGTTGGGATAGAGGTCGAGCTATATTTGGAGAAGTCTTGTTGGAGCTTTGGATCTGCTGAAATATGGAAGTCGATGGAGGATTGGCTCTGGCGAGGAAGTGAGAATCTGGGGAGATAAGTGGGTTCCTAATCTGGTTAATCATGAGGTTTATTCCTATTTCCATTTTATGGATTGGGATGCCATAGTTTCGAGCCTTATTGATCAAGAGACAAGAAAATGGAGACATGATCTTCTTGAGATAATGTTTTCTGCAGAAGAACAGCAGGCTATTTTGGCTATTCCTCTCTCTTCAGTTATCGAAAAGATGTTTTATGCTGGACAGGGTCTGAAGATGGAAATTATTCGGTGAAATCTGGTTATTGGATTGAACAGGAAAGAAGACAGGAGGAGAGAACAGGAAGCGAGACAGGTACAGATGGGGAGTTTTGGTGGAAGAAACTATGGAGACTTAATATGCCAGGAAAGATTAAAGCATTTATGTGGAAAGATGCTCACAATATCCTCCCTGTGGAAGTCAAGATCGGCAAAAAAAAAAGTCAAAACTTGGGCGACGAATGTCCTAATTGTGGTACCAGAGAAACTCTTAATCATTGCCTGGTTGACTGTAGTTGGAATACAATGATTTGGAGTAAGACTCCACTGGCAGAGATGTTCTAAAAGCAGAAGGTTTAACCTGCAGAAAGTGGCTTTAGGAAGTATTGAAGAACTATTCGGAGAAGGAAATTGCACAGTTCTGCTCCTTACTATGGTTTTTCTGGAAGGATCGTAATCACTTTCTATTCAATAATAAATTTAGGCAGGATTGGGAGATATTTCCTCATGCAGATGAGTTCATTCAGTGCTACATGGAAGTTCAGGGTAAAGATCAAAAAGCTACAAGGCAATGACTATAGGATGCAGCATAAATGGCAAAAACCACCAGTTGGAGTCTTTAAATTGACACTGATGTTGGGATTACAAATAGGGGGGAAGTGGGACTTGGATGCATCCTGAGAGACTGGAATGGAGCTGCTGTGTTTGCTGCTAATAAGAAAATCAAGGTTAGATGGCCTCCAGACGTTGCTGAAGGGATGGCTATTTTGTTTGGACTGCGTTTGGTTGCTGATTGGGGAGGAGGCGCCATAGTGGTGGAGTCTTATTGTCAGAAGGTTATCCATTTACTGAAGAAAGCAAAGAGATGCAGGACTGAAGTGGGAAGCATTTGTGCTGAGATATTGAATATGGCTGAGGCCCTGGTATTTGTAGAGTCAAATAACTCATTTATTGTTCATGTGGTATTTCAGTGTTATTTCAGTGGTAATTGAAATAAAGTATCTCATTTGGTTGAACAATGCAAATGTGGTATTTGACATGTGGTATTTGGTAAAAGCAGAGTGATAAAACAAGTTATTTCGAAATAGCACATGAGTATAAGTTATTTCAAATAACTCGTTTTGAGTTATTTGTAAATGACTCACTGTCCAAATAACTCATTTCAGTAAAACGCTGCCAAACGAGTTATTTGCGTCCAAATAACTCATTGTGAGTTATTTGAACCCAAATAACTCATACAAATACTCCATCCAAACCACCTCTTAGAGATTGGATCTTCACTTATCGATAAGCTAACAGCGTGGCGCACCAGTTGGCTCATTTAAATTCTTCCTCTTATGATGATATTGTTTGGAACAATAGGCTGGTGCTCATTAAAATTCTTCCTCTTATGATGTTGTTTGGAACAATAGGCTTCCTTTGATGTTAGCTGATACTTGATACTGTAGCTCTTGAGGCATCCCTTTCTGGTTTTTTATGAATCCCATCGACTTTACCTTAAAAAAAAAATGTAAAAATCACCCCTAAGACTAACTCCAACCCAAAAGGCTATAGTTAGCCCCTCAAGCTCTTAAATGTGCATTTTTACCTCCCAAAAACACTTTTTGCTCCAACCCTAAACATTCTAAATTTGCCTTCCCAACTCAAAACTATCCAATTAAAAATTAAGAAAGTAAAAAAAAAAAAACAGCAACAACAGCTGGAAAGTGGAGGGCCCCACCGTGCCCCCTGCGTGTATAGGTGTCAATCGGGCGGGTTCGGGCGGGGTTCAATCGGGTTCGGGTTCAAACGGGTTGCGGGTTAGTCGGGTTGCGGGTTCATCGGGTTCGGGTTCATTGGGTTCGGGTTCAAACGGGTTGCTTGTTAGTCGGGTTGCGGGTTCATCGGGTTCGGATTCAATCGGGTTGCGGGCATATCGGGTTGCGGGTTCATCGGGTTTTGGGTCGGGCGGGTTGCGAGCGGGTCGGGTTTCGGGTTGTTCGGGCCAGCGCATCAAGTAACTTAACTCATTACTCATTACCAACTTACACATTTTATTACACTAATTTAAAATATTTTCTCAACTTTTTAACCAATTTATTTCTACCTCGTATATATATACTTTATTTTTTTGAAAAAAACTAGTCAAAATGTTAAATCAATTTGTATGACTTGCAAACTTGTTATGTATTAATCATAATTGGTAAAGTATTATAGCTAATAGTAATGGTGATATCAATATTTGCAACCAAAAGACACCGTTAATTGTTTATTTGATATTTTAGTATTAATTCAGTAGTAATTGGATTAAAGTATCTCGTTTAGTATAACCATGCAAATCTGGTATTTGGCGTGTGGTATTTGGAAAAAGCATAGTGATAAAAGGAGTTATTTCAAAATAACTCATTGCCCAAATAACTTTAGGGGTCGTTTGGATGGAGTATTTGCATGAGTTATTTGGGTTCAAATAACTCACAATGAGTTATTTGGACGCAAATAACTCGTTTGCCAGCGTTTTACTGAAATTAGTTATTTGGACAATGAGTTATTTACAAATAACTCAAAACGAGTTATTTGAAATAACTTATACTCATGTGTTATTTTGAAATAACTCGTTTTATCACTCTGCTTTTACCAAATACCACATGTCAAATACCACATTTGCATGGTTCAACCAAACGAGATACTTTGTTTCAATTACCACTGAAATAACACTGAAATACCACATGAACAATAAATGAGTTATTTGACTCTACAAATACCACATTGAAAATTAACCAATCCAAAGGACCCCTGTAAACTGTTGCCAAACGAGTTATTTGTAAAATTGTTCGAATTATCCTAAAAATTGAACCATTAAAGATTAGCTATCAAATTTAGTAAAATTATTGTGACTTCAATCATAACTTACTCAATAGCATATATCCTATACACTTAGCTTTACCCTCAATTAACAATATTAAGTTAGTATATGTTGTTGATTGTATACCCTAAACCATCAATACATTATACACTAACCACATAACCTATACCCTAATCATATGTCCTTGAGTTGTGATTTTGCTAGTATAGTTAATTTAAAAGTGAAATTCATACTTTGATTTTCAAAACATAAAAAGTGATATTTGCTAATTATTATACCCTAACCATATATCCTATACTTTACACCACATACCTTGTACCCTAACCACGTACCATAAACATAAATTAAAAAGGGATCTCCTGCCGTTAAAGACTTCAAATGACTTCAAGTGAACATATGTTAATAAAAAACTTAGAACCGTCAAAACCATCAATATCTTATACCCTAACCATATACACCCTAAACCATATGTACCTTATACCCTAACCATATACTTTATATCCTAAACAACGAACCGTCAAAGATTACTTATCAAGTTTATGATAAATTGTTGTAACTAATGGTTAATTTATTTATTAGCCCATAAAAAATTACATACATATATACATATTAGCCTTCAAAGCATATAAGAATAATTTTAACTAGTCATGCCCTCCATATAAAAGTTAAAGATTCATATTTCAAAAGCTAAAATTATGAAAAACCAAAATCTTGAAAACACCAAATTTGTTTCCTTCTTTCTTTTCACAAAAATAATAAAATTTCCCTCCTTCTTTCTCCTTCCATACATTAGAAAAACTCAATTTTCCCTCCTCTTTCTCTTCCATAAAATTGAAAGAACCAAATTACCTCTTCTTTCCTTCTACAGAAAGTTGAAAAGTCAAAAGTTTCCCTCCTTATTTCTCTTTCATAATCAAAAGAATCAAACTTTTCCACTTCTTTCTCTTCCCACATATCAAAACCACCAAAATTTCCACTTGTTTCTTTTCTAAAAAATTCAAAGAACTAAATTTCCCTCTTCTTTCTCTTCCAAAAAACTTGAATACACCAAACTTTCCCTCTTCTTTTAAAAACATCAAATTACCAAATACATTACTTTACTTTATTTATATTTAATTGATAATTTTATTGAATAGTTAAATTAACCAAAATTTTAATTTATATATTATATTAATATTGTCATGATCTCAAGTGACCTTCATGTTTCAATTTTTGTAATTTTCTTAAAATACGTAATATCAAGTGAGTTTCATATTTTTAAAATTTCTTATACGAAATGAAAAAATAATTTTACTTAAATTTAGAATGAAAAACTTTATTTTGAAAAACTATGTATTGTATATTTTTATAATTATTCAAGTGGATTAGATGAAATTCGGGTTGAGTCGGTCGGGTTACGGGTTAGTCGGGTTCGAGTCAATCGGGTTCGGGTTAATCGAGTTGCGGGTTAGTCGGGTTGCGGGTCAATCGGGTTCGGGTTAATCGGGTTGCGGGTTAGTCGGGTTGCGGGTTAGTGGGGTTGCCGGTCGGTCGGGCTACGGGTTGTTTACTTTTAGTCAATTCGGGTTGCGGTCGAGTTGCGGGTCGAGTTGATCGGACGGGTTAATCGGGTCGGGCTATGTTTTGACACCTAACCTGCGTGTGGACTTGGCTACCGCAGGGTCCCCACATTCTCTTGCATTTTTGCCCCTCCTTCCATTTCAGCTGCCATTTCAGCTGCCATCTATTCACTCCCAAGCCCACTTCTCCAAATTTGCAAGCCAATTTTTATGTGGGTTAGAGAGGAAAAAGTGGAAAAACATCACTTTCTTCAAATTTGCATTTTTGGGTTGGAGTTACTTGTTTACAATTTTTTAGTCATACCATCTTTAGATCAACGTTTAAGCAACCAGACTTTATAAAATAAAATAAACGTTTAAGCAACCACAGAAGCAAGCTGAAGAATAATCAGAACGAAGAGGCAGCAAAATTGCATTGTCAATACAAACCCAGTTTACATCTTCAATTTAGGGAAAGAGAAGATATCAGCAGTTCCCTTAATGGTGCAGGCTAACCACATCTACTCCGTAATATTTTATATCCTGTCTTACACCAGAAGAACAGCATTTATACAACCATCATTCTCAGGGTTATTCGTCACTTGGGCGTATTTCCCTGCATCACAACCAAATTGGAAATCAGAAAACCAAACCATGAAAATCAATACAACAAAAGGCACAAGGAAATGGACACTAACCCCAAACAACTTTGCCGCCAGGTGTAACAAGTCCCAATTCACTCACATTCACCTGTTGTTCGCGACGAGTAAACCATTAGAGATGAAAGCCGAGAAACACTTTTTAACTGTCATACAAAAGACCCAAAAAGCATGTTCAAGGAAGGCTGGAAGGGAGATTACCTCGATGATTGTTCCCTTGGTCATGACTCCAAGGGATGTGTACATTGGACCGTTGGGGTTCTTCTTCACCCCAATGATCTCAAGGTTGAAGGTGCATTTTAGCTCGGGATGGGTAACATGGGCCTTGGTGAAACGCAACCCTGATGGGCGGATGAAACGCTCGTACTTTGGAGGCTTTCTTGTGAAACCGGGTCCAACGAATGTCGCCTTAGTCACCATTCGTTTCCATTGCTTGGCTGGAAATGTACAGAGAGCACATAATCACTCAGCCAGAAACTTCAGTACATAAAATAGTGAAAAAGTAACAACATGGTGTATGGGGCTTACTCTTCCTTTTCCCAGATCTAAGCACTTTGAACATCTCATCTTCTGCAACAGGCCTCACCTAAAATAGCATGAAACACATCTAGTTCAGAATAGCTGATACAGAAGGGAAATCAATAAAGATGTCAAATCGAAACATCAACAAAGAAAACAACACCTAAGCATATTACCTTTGGCAGAGGAACTTCCCATTTTCCTGCCTTCTCTTTCCTTTTCTGCTTTATGGTGTTGCTAAGAATCTACATATAGAAACACCACAAAGTAGTAAGAAAATTGATTTAACAAGAGAAAATACAATATGAAGAATTAACATGAACCAATATGGGCAAAAACACTTCTTACTTTTGCACGAGTTGTAGTCTCACGATCCAACAGATAGGCAGGAACAGCTCCTTCCTGAACTTCATCATCGACCTTACGCCTAGATGATGACTCTTCATGCATTTTCAATCTATTGCAAAAACACACAAAAGATTACCAGGGGAAAATCAGTTAATCTGAAAAAAATCGAATTCAAAGGCAGGATGGTTGCCGAAATTCGTGCTCAGGCTGTCTATATTTGAATACTAATTTAGACAATTCAATAAACAGCAAACTAACCAAGAGGGTATCGACCAAAAAAAAAAATTCCACTATCAACTCATTACTTTCCTTAGTGATGATGAAACCACAAGAGCAACCAAGCTTCCAATATGTTTATCTATGTACAGAACTAACTAGCTTCACATCATTTCACAGCTTCTTAACAGGGACTCATATAGCCATATTTGCTGTAAAACATAAATCTTCGCAATCTAAGCAATCAGGAAGAGCATCCACAAAGTTCTACCGCTAGAACCGACAGAAGATTCCGGTAGAAACAATTCAAACTTACGTTCTTTTCATTTGAACCTTCTCCTTGTAGTTCTTCTTGGCAATCATCTTGCCCTTGATACCGAGCGACTTCTGCGCCCGTTCGGAGTGCTTGTGAACCTCACGCGCCTCCTTCTTGCGCTTCCGCTCGAAGTGGTCGAGGCGGTAGCCATGCCTCTTCCTGTGAAGCTCGATGTAATCACCTTGCGGCTGTAAAAGAAAAACACAGGAGAAGAAGCTAGCTCGTCAGAAATCAGATCAAACTACCGTATTGTGGCAAACTAAATCAAAACCTAGGTGGAGCGGAATCGGCAGGCAGGGACGAACCATGGTGACTTTGGTTTGGGGATCAGTTTAGTGGAGAGACTCGGAGCGGAAGCGGGGAGAGAAAAAGAAAACCTAGTTCCGTTGTGCAGTGAGGTTTTGTTTGGGTTGAGAAGACATCGGTTTAGCGGTGCGGGCCGTTGCAAGCGGACAACGAACGGGGTCGGTGGTTTGCGTGCTTGACAGAAGCCTCTAAAAGTTGGGCCGGTGAGAGCATTTATCTTTGGGCCGGAGTTGGACGGGATGTTCTCGGTCCAAAAATTTTTGACGGATTTGGTAGTGGTTTGTAGAACTCTCAGTCCCTTTGTTGCTTGGTGTTTACACTTTCATAAATTCAATTCCTATCTTGGAGTGGGTTGTAAATATGAGTAGAACTAACTCGAGTTTGATCTAGTTCTCGTTTAAAAAAAACAGTGTTATTAAAGCCGAGTCGAGCGGTGAAATCGTCACCCAATCACAAAATCGACTTGGAACAGTTTTAAAACCGCTCCGATTTTATGTAGCGGTTGACGAGCGGCCGAGACTCGTCCGATTTTTGTCATTCAACCGTTTAATTTAATTAAAAAAAATGCAAAAAATTGAAAATTAAAGATACTCGTTATCTAATTTTCTATTCAAATGTGTTCGAGTGCTCTACTATACTGTGGATCCGCAATAGGACTTATATTGTAATTGTATACTACGTGGCCGGGGAGGGATGGAGGGCGTGTGTATGGTAATTGTTTTCTGTGTGTTCCTTTCCTTGTCGTGGGTGCCATGCCATGCAGCACAGCTTATCTGCGCGATGCGACGAGCTAGGCTTATCTACTGGCTATCTTGCGTTGCGTATTTGCATCCGTGTATGGCATGGGTCTCCAATTCTCCACGACTCTGGATCAGATATCCTGGGAATAGGATGAGGAGGAGAAAGACACAAAAGTCAAAACAAAAGCCGATGGTCATGGTGATCTCTCTCTGTCTCTTTTTTTACCACAAACAAGTTAAGATTCCTCTCCATCTATTCTCTTTCCTTTACTTCTTTTCCTTTTCCTTTATAAATATTCCTTCGCTTTCTTCCCCCACTTTATTATTGTTGGTGAATAATATTCCTTTATAATATTAATGATGTACACTCAAACTATTCATGTTCTCCGGTGGTTTTTATGTTTCATGCGATGAATGAATACATGCATATAATTATATGTGTATTGATAAATTTAATGTAAAAAATTATACATATGGTGTATGCAAAAAAATTTAAAACTATTTCAAAAACGATGATATTTATTTCTAATACAAAACAGTACTTCTGTTCTTTTTTTTTTTTTTTTTGAAGGAACAGTACTTCTGTTCTTTGATGTTTAGATGGAGGGTTAATTACAATGATCCGGCCGCCATATAAAGTTTTCTTATTTTATGTTTGGTTAAATGTCAAGTTTGGTCATTGGATTTACTAAAATGTGACATGTTTACTCACTGGAAAAAATTAATATCAATTTTGATCACTCAAATTAGTAAAATAGTCGACGTTTGGTCACTCTTCGTTAACTTCCGTCAGTCTACGATAACACTGTCAGTTATTTGTTGACGTGGCTAACAAAGATGTCTAGTCACCCAAATTTAACCCGAAATACTTAAAACCCGACCCGCCACATCAGATACCCAACATGCCAAATCAGATACCCAACACGTTGACCCGACCTTACTTTACTTAGCCGCCCAAGCTCTCCAGATCTACTTTCTCATCTCACCCCGACGCCGTCGCCTAGACTTGCCCTTCCATCTTCCACCTCTCGGAATTCGTCCCCATCCGGCATCGCCACTCCTTTGCACACAAGCAGTTGTCCTCGGGCCTTACCACCACTAGTTCCCCGACCTCCAACACTGGGAAACTTTCAAGCTCACCTCAATTTGCTCTACTTCACCGAAGATCTGCAAGCATTAGAGACGTTTGGTTTCTGAATGATTAGGTCCTGATGTTGTTGTTGACGGGGAAACGACGGTCATCTGGAACCAGGAGCTCGATTGGAGTAAATGGGAAGAGTTTCCCACCATTGATGCACTCGCCATTTCCAGTTAGAGCAACGCAATAGAAACAAAAGCCGTTATATATCTCTCTGTTCCTCAGCCACTTTCACAAACATGTAAAGTCAGAATATGAGATACACTCAACATGAGATTCAGATTATGAATTTTCTAAGATGATCTCTTGTAAAGAAAAAAAGGCAATTTTATTGATTTTGCAAATAAAGATCAGACAACACAATGAACCCTAGCCAAGCCAAGTGACTTGGCTCTTTGAGAAACAACACTCAACACACTCACTTCCCACGATTCGAATCACCCAGTACACTCCCATACATCGTGATTCTATCTACCGAAGCAATTACATTCATTGACCCAAAGTAGAAGAGTTTCAAACCCAGAAGCTCTCGCAACTAACTGTCAAATTGCTACCGAGCAGAAGGCTTACATTTTATAGTGTAGATAGCATATGACCGTTGCCTAATCAGGCGCCTTCCATAGTCTTCATCATTCTCCAACATAGTGACGGTGCTAGGTGGTGCAAACTCGAGAAAGCTGATGCTTCTTCTGAAAGAGGACGATCGAGAGAAGAAATTAGAGATCATCGATCGAGGAGTCCTCTCTTTGACTTCGAAGGGCGATGCAGTGAAACGACATTGTTGAGAGGTGCTATGTAGAGAAACGACATCGTCGTGAATTGCATCTTTCCTTGGAGAGAGATGGCTCCGTTTTGATGGTTATTGCGTCGTTTCAGGGCCAACAAAATAGCTAGTCTCTCTCTCTCTTCCTTTTACTCTCCACATTCATCTCTCGCTCGCCATATCTGTCTCTTCTTTTGTCACTTTCTATTTGCTTAGCGACCCCAACCTCCCCCTCTCCATCCCTCTGCACATGCTCTTCGTATTCACCTTCACAATCTGCTCCTTCCCAATTTCAACCCCTCCTTGTTTCCCCCCTCTTCCTCTTGTGTATGGGAAAAGATTTTGGGATGTGAAGTGACGATGGAGAACTATATCTGGAAGTTGCAAAATCGGGTTTGGGTTTTTATGGGCTAACGATGATTTAGTGGAAGGAAGTAAGGATTTGTGAAGTGATTCAATGGAGGAGATATGGATATGGGGTTTTTGTTCTCATTTTGATTCGTTGTGGGCAGCTCGTCATCAGCTAGAAAGGGACAGAGAAAGGAATGATCTTCTTCTTGGTGGCGGGTGATAGAGGAGAGGGGTTTCCAGGGGTTAGGGGTTGGGTTAGAGGTTGGGTTGGGTGTTTATGACATGGTGGGTCAGGTTTAAATTATTTTGGGTTAAAATTGGATGACTAGGCGATTATGTTTGCCACGTCAGTAAAAAACTAACTGTGTTAACGGAGCTGAACGGAGACTAACGCATAGTGACCAAACATGACATGTTTTACTAAACTTAGTGACCAAAATTAATATTAATTTTTTTCAGTGACTAAAATGTCACGTTTTAGTAAACTCAGTGACCAAACTTGACATTTACTCTTTTATTTGCTTTTTATTTTCATTTTGCTACATGATAAGTAATTGTGGTTTCTCATTATAAAAAAAAAAGTAATTGTGGTTTCTTCTTTTGTTGATTATTGGTAAGAATTCTACTCGGCGGACTCCGCATATGGTTTTACTTAGAGTTTAGACCAAAAGTCACCATAATAAAGTGTTGTAGACAAAGTATTTGTCTTCCTTAGAACTACACCTAATTCATGCATTGCGTAAGCTAAACCCTCAGATTCTTAAAAACCAAGTAAATCTCATATTATTTTTCGGAAAAAGTTCTCATTATCTTATTCATCATATTAGAATTCACGCTTTTCACATAAATATATAAAAATTAATGCTTCAGATAGGTTTGACATACATGAGTATTGTAGGATCAAAATCATAATTATGAGGTGCGTGTATAACATGCACACAAAAAGATGAGCGCAATAAAAAATTATCAGATGGAAAATCGTGAATTTTGAAATGATTAAGATTATTGTTCTGTATCGATGATATCACTACACATATAGTCTATTATTGGTGAATAGTTTAATCAATACTCTAATGAGGCAACCATTCAAAAAAAAAAACTCTAGTGAGGCAAAACTATTTATTATGGTTTGTTTGCTTGATGGATCTGTTGAAGGATTTGATGATGGATTTGGATTCATGATGGACTTTGTCCAAAATTTATTGTTTGCTTCAAGTATTTAGAGAAACCAAATCCGTGGAACCCATGGACTTTAAGGGTCCAAATCCTGAACCCCACGGACTTGAAAATCTCACATCTTTAGGTGGGAATTGATTATAAAGTTTGAAGTCCATCATTTTTTACCAATCTACCCCTCATATTTTCTTTTTCTTTTTATATCATTGAGGGCAATAAAGGTAAAATTCACTTCATACATACAAATTTAAAACAAAATCCATAATGAAAACCATGAAACAAACAATGGTCTTTTTCAAATCCATAATGAACCCAAAACCCTCATATATCCATGGTTTATCAAAATCCAAGTTATACCAAAACCTTCATTTTTCAAATCCACGAAGCAAACCAGTGGTGGACCTAGAAATTGTTCCAAGGGTATTCACAAAAATTAAAAAATAAAACCAAAAATTAATTCAAAAATATTTAATTAATAAAGTACATCGATTCATCGTTTCTCATAGCGAATCACACCGTGTTTTTTTTTTACAAAAGATAATCATATATTAATAAAAAAAGAGAGTTACATCCTGGAATTTAGCCAGACCATAAAATCAAAAGATCGACATGAAGCCGGGTACAATGACTGGGCCTTTCTAGCCACCACATGGGATACCCTATTGTTACTACGGCCAACAAATCGCACACTAAGTCCATCATGGATACTAAAATAAGACACCACCTCCTGCAGCAAAGCCCCCCACCCTACTGTCCCTTGTATCAGATTGGTTGATCTTATCAATCACAACCTTAACATCACCTTCAAAGCATATTGTATGGAACCCCAGGTTTAGACACCAAAGGACAGCCTCCCTGAGTACAAGCAGCTCCACCGTCGTACGATCATCCACATCAAGAAGCTGAATCCCCATAACCCGGATAAGACCCCCTGACCGCAGACGGATAACCATCACACCAGCCGAATGGGAGCCGGCTTTTGTCGCCCCATCCCATTGGAAAACCACCTCAGAAGGGTTAACCAAGGCCATGGCCCAGGGAACCGAAATAGGAGATCGACCATCCCGATCCCTTGGCAAGGCAATCCATTCGTTATATTGTTGGATAAATTGGCGCATTAAAGCCGAGATACCAAATTGTTTACCTTCAAAAACTACTCAGTTCTGGGATCTCGAGATACACCATAGGAGTGCTATAACAGCGAGAAAAAGGTCTGGCTGCCTAAGCCGAAGCATTAACTTCTTCAGAAATAAGGGAAACATGTGACGCGGCAAAGCCTGACCCAATTGGTCCAACCCCGAATGATCCCATAACGCCCTCGCCACAGGGCAATCCAGAAACAATTTCTCCATTGTTTCAGACGCGGCCCAACAAACCGGACACAGCAGGAGCACCTGTAACTTTTTCTCAATGAGAGCCCTTGTAGTAGGGAGAATCTGATTAAAGACTTGCCAAGCAAATACCTTCAGCTTTGGGGGAATGTCTGAATCCCACAGACGGATCCAACTGGGTCTATCCATCCAACTAGCCATAGCTTTCGACTTTCCATTATGCTGAGCTAGAGTAACATCCAAGTGATATGTCGATTTGACCTTAACACTATGTTCATTTAGGAGAGAAAAGGAAGGAGAGGGAAAAACTGAGCGGAAAATTACATTCCCGAGAAGGTTTCCGCCGTTTCCGAACGTTTCAACATAACAGAGGGGAGGGAAAAGCGACGAAAATGGAACTGTTCCACCAGTCCCTCCGATTTGGGCGGAAAATCCGACTTTCCTTTCCTCTTTTTATTCTTTTTCTTTTCAATTTGGTTTCCTTTCCTTCTCTGGCGTTGGTGTCCACTTTTTAATCCTATTTTTCCCCTTAATTAATTTTGTTTCCTTTCTTGATAGTGTTTGCATAAATTAGTCACGAAAAAAAAATGGAATTAGCAAAGTGATATTACCATAAAATCATTATTTATCTTGCCTTGTTAATTATTCACGAATTATTAATGGGAATAGTAAATATTACCAAAAAAATATTGTTTTGGACCATATGACACCAAAGCGAGTATATTGCGATTCGATCGTGAATTTTATAATTGTTAAAGAAAAATGGATCAGTTTGATATTTGGAACGGACCAAATGAGTGAGTTATGTCATGTATAACGTACGCAATATATAAAACTGTTAGGTGAGATGTAAAAGTGTGTTATATTCAAAAATGGCAACACAGTGTAAATGTCATCTTATACAACCGAGGTAATACAATTTTTATGAATTTCTTTTAAATCAAGTTAAAATGGACGAGATTTTTAATGGCAAATCAAATTAGTAAAAAATAATAAATTTTGTCCACTATTTATCAAGGTTGTCAAACCGGGTTAAGTCGTCCAGCCGGTTCGACAAGGGGTTTGAGGTTTAATGGTCGGATCGGGGTTCAACCGGATTAAGCCGGTTTTAATAGAATAGGTGAATAATGGATATAGGAAGCCATTTTTGTCACAAATTTTGGACTTTTTGGCCCAAACAAACCCATTACATCAGCCCAACAAAACCCCTAATTACTTTTTTGCCCAAACAAACCCTAAGCCCAACTACCCAACAAACATCCATCTCCCTAAATATCATAAGCAGCAACCGCCTATACACACCCACAAAATAAGAATCTGATTCTCCTTCCCTATTCTTCCCTTTTCCTACTGCTCTGTACTTCTTCTTCCTCAATCCTCTGTGTTCTCTTCCTTCTTCCTCTAATTCAATCTCAAATTGCCGAGAAGGATCCAGTGTGTGACAGAGAGAGGGAGGGAGGGAGGGAGGGAGGGAGAGAGAGAGCGACCCAACACCTGCAAAATAGAAGGAGCCGTCGTCGGAGCTGGGAGCGAACGGCGGGTTCTCGGTGGTCGGCAGAGGTGTGGATCGAGCTGGCGGATGGAGGAGCCGATTTGGGAGGCTGTTCCAAAACTCTCCAAAATGCCGTCGTTTCATCACTAGCCGGTAGCCGGATAAGTCCGGTCAGACCCAGGGTTTGACCGATTTTGACCGGCTTTGACCGATTGCTGGCTAGCTCAAAATATGGCTGGTGCTGGCCCCTTTTGTGCCCGGTTCCGACCCAACCCGGTCGAACCGGCCGGTTAGAGCCGGGTTTGACAACCATGCTATTTATAAGTAATAGAAATAACATCAACACATAATTTTAATTATTTTACTATTACATACCCAATAAACTAACATATATATCACACTTCCCAATATACCTTTTCCCTCTCACTTTCTCTTTCACTTTCCTCCACAAAACAACATTTTCTATCCCTTTCAATTTTCTCTCCCCTTCTTTTCCTTCACCTCCAAATTTTCATTTCCCTATATTTTCTTTCCTTCCTTCGGAAACAGAGTGTAAAGATTCCATCAGACGTCCCATGCCATATCAGTCTATCCTCCACCGAATGTCGCGGGAGAGGGATTTGCTTAATTGCACTGATTGTAGGTGGGTCAAACCATCGTTGCAACTGGGCATCGCACCAACGACCCTCTCCTTGAAAAATAACCTCACTCACCTTGATCTCCTCCTGAGGCAGCACACAAGGATTATAAGCCGGGGGACAAGGATGCAGACTAGGGATCCAACGAGAGTCCAACAACGGGGCCGTTTGCCCATTCCCAATATGCCATCGAAGCCCCTGCAAAAGGAGCTCACGGCCAAAGAGAATACTCTGCCAGCCCCAAGAAGGCCGCGAGCGGGCCGCAACTGTGAGGAACAATCCACGTGGAAAGTATTTTCCTTTATAAACTTGATGTAGCAGAGATTGGAGTGTCGTTAAGAATGCGTCAGCCAATTTTTGCAAAAAGCGCCTGATTAAAATGCTCAAAGCGACAAAACCCCATCCCCCCATCATGCTTGCTACGACAAATATTTTTCCAAGACATCCACCTAATTTTAGAGCACTCACCCGCCTCGACACCCCACCAAAATCTGGCCACATGTTTGTCCAAGAGGCGACACAGGGATAGTGACAGCTTGAAATAGGACATGACATGCAACAGAAGGGCTAAAGCAACTGATTTAATCAGAGTCTCCTTGGCCGCCCATGACAAATTTCGTTGTTTCCATCCTTGAAGTCGGGCAAGCAACTTCTCCACCAATAGCGAAAGGTCATGGTTTTTGACTGGGCAATAAACGTAGGGAGTCCCAAATATTTATCCTGAACCCCCACCGCCCCCACCCCCATGGTCTGCGCTAGGAATTCCTGGTCAGGAGGAGAGATATTCTTGCTAAAACGGACTGCTGACTTTGCCAAGTTAACCCGCTGCCCACTAAGCTCTTCATATTCATTCAACACCTCAATCAAATTCTCACATTCCTCGAGGGTTCCCCGGAGGAATAGGTACGAATCATCTGCGAAAAAGATATGAGATATATGGGGAACTCGTAGGGCCACTTTAATCCCTTCCAGTTTCCCAGCCGAAATGGCTTGCCTAATGAGGGCCGCGAACCCTTCCGTGCAGATCACAAACAAGAGCGGGGATAACGGGTCTCCCTGTCACAAACCCCTATAGGTGTGAAATATCCTGACGGGGTGTCATTCATCATAACATAGAAAGAGGTCGAGCTCAAACACTCATGAATACACCCACGCCAGGTTGAGTTAAAGGCCATCTTATCTAAAACACCGAGAAGAAAAGACCATTCGACTCTATCATAGGCCTTTTCCATGTCAACCTTTAGAGCCATGTATCCTTTCTTCCCCTGCTTCTTGATTTTCAGGTAATACATTAACTCATGAACTAGGAGGACATATTCGATGATTTTTCGTTCCCGAATGAACGCATTCTGGCCTTCCGAAATTATCGTGGGTAAGAGGCAAGCAAGCCGTTCAGACATAATTTTAATTATAATCTTGTACACAAACTGGCACAAGCTAATTGGTCTGAGCTGACACATGCTTTCCACATTATCCACCTTCGGGATCAAAGTCAACCAGGTGTGATTAACACTCCGACTCCGTAGCAACCTTGACGTAGAAAAGAAGGAGCATACCGCTTTACTCACTGAATCACCCACAATGTCCCAGAAGGCTTTAAAGAATTTGCTAGTGAAACCATCCGAGCCCGGGGCTTGTTTTGATCCCACGGAAAAGACGGTACGACGGATTTCCTCGGGAAGAACCTCAGCTGTTAGAGCCTCATTCATTCTGTAACTTTCCGATCTATAGGAAGATTCGCAATCCGATCAGCCATGTTGGGGACCTGATTCTCGGAGGTAAAAAGAATCTGGTAAAAATTTGAGGCAATCTCCGCCTTCCCTTTCTCCTCGGTAATCAAGTGCCCATTGTCATCACGTAGCCCGGATACAAAGTTTCGCTTTCTGCGCGCCCTGGTCACTGTGTGAAAGTACGACGTGTTCTTATCACCTTTTTCAGCCACGAGACCTGAGATTTCTGTTGCCAATAAATATCCTCCGCCTCCCACTGGCGGTTAAGCTCAATCTCCAAGTCTCTGACAACATCCCAATCAATTGGGTGAACTTGCTTAACCCGGTCAAGTTCCCGTTGGAGGGTATTGATATTCCACAATGAGTTTGTTGTACCCGCCAGACTCCAATCATATAAAAGATGCCGAAGCTTTTTCAATTTATGCCAGAGCTGGTACATAGGGATCCCTTGGATTTCCTCATGCCACACATACTGAACCATCTCCCTAACCTCAAGGTTATCCACCCAGCGAGCGTCGAAACGAAAGAGGGGCCTACTACTATGGAAATAGGGCTTATCAGCCAAAAGGAGGGCACAATGGTCCGAGCCTTGATCCGTAAAGTGTTTGAGCAAAGTATCCGGGAAGCGATCAATCCAAGTCTGGAAGCATAATGCTCTGTCCAAACGCTCACAGATAAGGGCCGACCCCATGCGCCTATTAGACCAGGTAAATTGATTCCCTTGAAACCCTGTGTCATGGAGGTCCAAATCCTGAACAAACTCACGAAGTGCAATCGATTTGGTCGGGTTCCATGGGGTACCCCCCCCCCCTCTTTTTCTTGAGCATTTAACGTTGTATTAAAATCCCCGATTACCACAAACGGCAGGTTGATTGTCGCACATATGTCACGAAGTTCTGCAAACTGTGAGGCTCTTATCGTGACATCACAACTAAGATAACACACACACCACAACGTACGAAAAACCTTCTTCATTAATAAGAACACAAAGAGAAAATTTTGAATGAAAAAACACTAAAGCATCAACTCCAGGGGACCAAGCAGCTACTAACCCACCAGCCACATCAACAACATCCTCAAAGAAACAATGGGACAACGAAAAACCTAACCCCCTCAAACGACAAGAAACTACACGCCTGCACGACCGAGTCTCCAAAAAGAAGACAAGATTATTCGACCGAACTAGACCAACAGCGGTTTGGAATGTGAGGGATGGTCCAATTCCCCTCACATTCCATACAAGAATCCTCATTTATCTGCTGGGGGCCACTTGAGATTAGCTTCCTCCACCTTGTCTTTCTCCATCTCTTCTTCAACAAATTGCTTCTTAGGGCTCCGTCCCTCTTCAGCACCTCCTACGATCTCCAGAAGAGGCCTTTTACACCATCCTCTGACTCCATAATGTTAGACCCATACTTATTGAGGCGCAGTATCATATCGCGCTCGGATTCAACCTCCTACCCCCTGAGCATCCGACATAATCAACCCCTTTTCAAAAGTCGCCATTACCTGGCTTACATGAAAGCGGCGAGCAGGGGATGCCTTTATTGGTGGAGCGCGACTGCGGATTGCAAACATCAATGTCTCATCCTCCGAGAGTGATAAGCCCTCGATTGGCTTAACTCAGAATAACGCGGCGAGGAAACAACGATGAATGAATTTGAGAGGAAAATCGATGGAACCAAACAAACTAAATCAGTAACTTCAACACGAAAAGGGAAGAGGCTAATCTAGGTAGAACTACCACGAGATCAAGGGTGAATATCCTGATCTCTATGTATGCAATTCTCGGCCACACAACCAAGAACCAAAAGCTCGCAAGCTGGAAAACTCCTCGGAGTAATTCAATTAAACTTCAACGTGTGTTTTTACAACTCAAAGCTTGACTATTTATAACCAAGAAACTTAATTACAATCCTAAACAAACAAGGAAACAATTTTGAATCAAACAAGGAAAAGAAAACGTTGAAAACAATTAAAACTTGCATCCCAAGTAACTAACTTCTCTCACAAGCTAACTGCCCAAAAACAGCCCTTGATAGCAACTTTGTGGCTCTGGAAACTGATCTTCTGGATTGAGTCGAGCTCAGCCAATTCCTTCCCTGGGTTTAGCAAGTTTTACTCTTCCATTCCCAACTCCAAGCTCCAGCTGGTCATGCCCCAAAAGTCTTGAATTCGAGCTCAAAGTTGGTACCTCAAACTGTCTCCCTGCCTTAGCAAAAAAACTGGCAATTTCCAGAATGCAGGATAGGTTTTTTATGGCCTTGAAAAGCAACCCTCCTGGCCTTCTTTCCATGATCCAAATGCATCAAATTATAGAGGAACATCCAAGGTTAAAAATAAGACCCTAACCTTGCGTTTCCATTGAACAGTTTGAGAGAAACATCCCTCCAAAGTACCCTTCCCGAAACTGCCTCAACACTTAGGAAATTTCCAGCCTTGTTCGTATTAACTTGACCCGATCTTTGAACGATTTGTTTGAGATGATTAAAGGGTGGAATTGAGATCATATCAGGCCCCCTTCTTGAAAAAGCTTTGACCTCAAAGCTTGGGTCATCTTGTAGTCATAACGATAGAGAAAATCATCCCAAACGGGATCGTGAAAAGTCAGTGCCATAACCTCCTTTTTCGGCGAGACTCGATTTGCCGGTGACCCCTTCGAAATTGGGGCTTTCCGTTTAACGACTTCTCGGACCAATTTCTTGCTCACATTTAATCCTCTTGGCTCCCACGAAGCGAATTCAATCATTCTCTTGCGTTGAGGTTGCTCAAGCCGCCTGGAATTGAGTCCTGAATTTTTCCCGCCACCGGAGAATTCAAAATTCCCAGTTTCCGGCGACGAGTTTCCAGAATCTGGAGAGGCGAGTTGAAAATTGGGCGTTTCTTCCATAGCCCTTGCCGATCCAATTTTTTGATTCCTAC